CCTTACTGTGAGGGTGACAGAGCCCTGGAACAGGCTGCCCAGAGAGGTTGTGGAGTCTGCTGCTCTGGAGATCTGCCAAACCCGCCTGGATGCCATCCTGTGCCGTGTGCTCTAGGTGTCCCTACTGGAGCAGGGGGGTTGGACTACATGATCTCTAGAGGTCCCTTCCAACCTCAACCATTCTGGGATTCTGTGAAAAACTTTTTTTTCTGATGTCTGACCTGAGCTCTGAAGCTGTAATTTATGGTTGTGGCTGATTCTTTTGTGTTGTTGTTGTTGTTTGTTTTTTGTTATGTTGTTGGGCACTCAGAGGAAGAGTTTGGCACCATCCTTTTTGTTGCTGCCTTCTGGATATTTATAGTCTATTGGTAGATTTACCCCTTAACCACCTTTTCCCCTGAAGTCAACCCAGCTTCCTCAGCCTTTCCTCACAGGCCATGTGCTTTAGGCCTCTGGTTGTCCTTGTTTGGTGGAGGGCTCCCCCCAGCCACTACTGATACGTGGCCACCCCTAGATGCAAAACTTTACACTTTTTCCTGTCAAACCCAAGGAGTTCTCTGTTGGCTTGTTCTCGAGGTCCCCCTGCACTGAGGTTTTGTCCTATGTTGTCAGTCACTCTCCCAAGTTGAGTGTGACTCACTCAGAGTCATCATTCAAGTCCTTGATGAAGATTGTGAGCAACAGGAGAACTGTAGCCTCCAGGTTTGGGGTAGTAGTTCACTTGAGATGGCAAGGGTGTACCTTGATCAACATTCATGACTGCTGATTGTTGTGGTGAAGAATAGGTTGTCTGTCTTTTGGTGTTGTTTCAGCCACAGTCTACTTAAATTTGTATGGTATTTCCCTTAGAACAAAGGCCCCCAAAAAAAAAAGTTTTAAGAAAAGAGAAGCTAAAAAAAAAAAAAGCCATCCATAAATCAATCTCTCTTTAGATCCTCCTGTGCATCCTCAGCTCCGTTAAAGGAGCTGGATGGAACACGAGCACACACAGATTTAACCCCATGGTTATATTTGCTAGTCAAAATCTTGGCTATAGCACCTTCTCTAGTGGTATCTTGAGCAGGAGCTGATAACATACATGTATGTATATGTATATATATTTTTCAGAATTATATATTTGCCTGTGGTAAATTATTGCGATATTCTTGTCGCTAATCCCATATTTTTGAGACCCAAACATTCACTATAAGAATATGACAAAAAAAAAAAAAAGCTGTACTTTCTTAACTTTAACAAATTCTATATAACTCTTTCTAAGGAAAAGAAAATTATTTAACTTTGCAAAGAATATGGATATAAATTTATGTAATTGCACAGTCTGTTGCAGAGAAGCCATCCTGGATTTATCATGTACTTGATATGTTGTAAACTTTGAGAACTGCCTGAAGACCCAGTTTTGAAAAGCTTACACAAGTAGGTATAACCACACGAGTAATCCCAGTCTTACTTACCTCACACTGACTTCTCTAGGGCTGAAAGTGGTTTCACAAAATTCCTTCAATTTTGATAATTGCAGAATAGCAGCCTCTAGTTCAGTGGAGAGCAAATTCTATTATAGCTATTAAGTAAAAATAGCTTATTTCAAAGCACGCATATGGGCGTAATCGGTTGTATGGATGTCAGTACTGGCTCCAAAGGTACTCTGCTTGCTTGTGTGGATTGGCTTTACAAGTCCAGTAGAATATTTGCTTTTGAATTTAATTGTAAGTGGCTATTTTTTTAAAAAGAAAAGTATATATGTTGCCTGGATGTGAATTTTGTCTAATGTGTTACAGCCTTATTTTTGTAATTAAAGCAAGTAGAGTTTTAGTTTGTTACATAAGACAACCTGTAATTTTTTAAACCAGTTTTGTAGTAATGAAATGTAACTAGTCAGATATCTGAAAAGCTTGTGGAAATTAGAGCCACTGTTGAAAGAAATATCAAATTCCTAATTTTATTTAAAACCTGCTTGCATGGAAATAGATATGCTTGAGAGCCAAATGGTCACATTTTTAGCTAGTGCTTGCAACTAGCCCCAGTTTTTAAAAGGGAGAACAGTGCAAAGTAAACTTTTAAATCTTCATATCTGTCTAAATTTGCTATGTGGGCATATGTATACACACACACACTTCACTGTATCAGTGGCTTTGATAAAGAGATGCTTCTGTTAGTGCCACACACTGCTGGTTAGTGCCTTGTCAGAAAGACGACTGCTGTAAGGGCCTCTTAGACTCTCTTGGACCCAGAAAGAGATAGTTTCTATGACTTATTTTTTTTAATAATGCAGTAATCAGATGTGGGGACCTGAGAAGAAAGACACATTTGTGATGCTGAAACACTTTGTCTGGTAAATTCTTCAGTTTTCTTAGGACAGCTTTCTCTCCCTCGTGCACTTCCCCCCCGCCTTTTTCTTTCCCTGCCTATGGAATATTTTAGAATCAAGCCTTCCAAGGAAGTAGTCCTGCGATAAAGCCCCTAATTCCATGTTCCAGCTCAAAAATAACTGTCGGTTTGAAGTGCTGAGCCCAGTTGCTGCCCAGCTCTCAGTAGCCTCCGTGGTTCTCCCTCCCTGTATCTTCTTGTCAAACTGCTTATTTAGGGAGCCCAATTTTTGGAATAACATTATTCAGGAGTAGGAGCCTAGGATTTTTAGGCAGGGCCTTGTGGCCAGGGAGCTGCCTTCACATGAGTGCGAGAGTGGGGTCAACCAGGATGTGCCAAATCCCCTTAGTCTTCCTTGACGTGTCCATCCACTCTGGTACAGCCACTCGTGTGAGAGCGCAAGGAGCGGGCCCGGCGTGTTCGCCCTGCTCGGGCAGAAGTGCTGCAGAAGGGCAGGCAGCACCGTGGTGCTCCCTCAGGAGAGAGTTGTTCTCGTGCGGCCTCGCTGGCCTCAGCCTTTACCCTCCCGCACACGAAGGGCTCCCGCACGGCAGGGGAAATGGAGAAGGGCTGCTTGAGAGCGGCCCTGCAGCCAGGGCAGGCTGTGCCTACCCCCCTCTTCCTGCTTCATCCCTCTCCCTGGTGTGCTGTGTTGCAAAGCTCCCGCTCCCAAGCGCAGGGCCGGCCTGCACTTGAGGGCGTCCTTGTTCCGTAGCCCCGCAGGACAGGGAGCCCCGGGCATCCTAGGCTGCGTATGCGTGGCGTTTTACAGTGTGTATTACGGC